CAACTTGTCAGGTTAAGTTATTACCATAAAGGTGCACAAAGTGGACTTTGGAGTTTGTACATACTATTTAAATATGTTATATAATATATATATATTTATTATTTCTTTATTTCTCTTTCAAGCATTTACAGAGAACACTAAACTTGTGTACGATTAGCACAATGGAATGGATTTCGCTCGAATATTGACGATTAATGGCTGGTGAAAAATTCGTTGTGTTCATAGTTATAGAATCAGTAATAATAACGGATGGTTGATAAATTGTTGCCATGCACTAGTATGAATATTTGTGTATAAATAATGGCTGTCTCTCTATAACACAGAGGTCTTGACATTTTACACACATAGTTAAAATTTCATTACATTCAATAAATTGTTGACGTTTGCATTTGGCACCTTTACATAGTCTCGATTTGCAAAAAAGTAAATTTCCAATTAAATGATATACTATATATAATGTGATTTCATAAAATAATAACATGGCATCGTAAGGGTTCGCATAATAACCCTACAGAAAACTGTGTGAGAGAATTTCTTGGAGATAACCAGGGCGAGTTACCCTTGGGTAATACTATTATGTGCATTATCCGATACAAGCTGGGGTTGGAAACTTACCTTTAAGCGTAGACTCCTTGTTTATGGGACAGGAAGACTGTTTTTCAAGCTTCAAATCGGATCGCTGTGGATTGGAGCAAAGTACTGAAAAGTTGTGGCAAATAAGTGGCAAAGCACTGAAAAGTGTGGCAAAGTACTGAAAAGTTGTGGCAAAGTGCTGAAAAATAGTGGCAAAGTTTGAAAAGTAGTGGCAAAGTGCTGAAAAGTGTGGCAAAGTACTGAAAAGTTGTGGCAAAGTAGTGGCAAAGTACTGAAAAGTTGTGGCAAAGTGCTGAAAAGTAGTGACAAAGTACTGGAAAGTAGTGGCAAAGTACTTGAAAAGTGTGGCAAAGTACTGAAAAGTTGTGGCAAAGTGCTGAAAAGTAGTGACAAAGTACTGGAAAGTAGTGGTAAAGTGCTGAAAAGTGTGGCAAAGTACTGAAAAGTAGTGACAAAGCACTGAAAAGTGAGGCAAAGTGCTGAAAAGTAGTGACAAAGTACTGAAAAGTAGTGGCAAAGTGCTGAAAAGTGTGGAAAAGTACTGAAAAGTTGTGGCAAAGTAGTGGCAAAGCACTGAAAAGTGTGGCAAAGTACTGAAAAGTAGTGGCAAAGTGCTGAAAAGTGTGGC